ATAAAGGTTTCCCTGTCCAGTTATGTCCGACTGTAGGGCAGAGTGTTCATTTCTGTTTCGTAGCTGAGGAAGGCAAGTTGTCCAAAGACATTTTCTGTGGTCATGTGGCCAGCATGTCTATACGCCAAACACACACAGAACACTGTTACCTTGCTACCAAAGTGGTACCTACCGTGTTTCCCAAAAATAAGATCCTGTCTTATATTTTTTGAACCCTGAAATAAGCACTTGGCTTTATTGCCATGCGCTCAAAAGGCCGATTGGGCTTATTATCAGGGGTAGTTTTATTTTGGGGGAAACAGGGTATTAATCTACATACATTTGCATGTTTTCATACTACTATGTCGGCAGGAGCTGGAGCAAGTAATGGGAGCTCATCCGTTGCACAGAGCTTGGGTCTCGAACCTGGACTGTCAGCTTTCCAGCTGACAAGCTAAGTGTCTTTAACATGTATATCCCACCCTTTAACCAAACCAAGGCATCTTATATGAGGGTCCATTTTTATCTTACCCCCGCCAAAACATCTCTATGATAGAAATTGGACTGAGCATTAATGAGCAGACAATCGTCACCTGGAGAGTTTCTGTGGCTGAGGTGAATTTGAACCTATGTTTTGCCAGTCCTAATCTAACACTTTAACACTGCACCCACAAGAAGCCTTTGTATGTTCGTAAAAGGTACCATATGTATTTATGTATACATTCCTTTATACTCCTGACATTATTTTTACACATTCAATCATGTCAGCCTAAGAAGTTATAAAGTGTTTTTCTATCGAGACACCTGGTCTACCCCAATATATGGGAGGGGGCATTCTGCTCTCTTTCACCTTTCAGCTCCAATCCAGGAGCCCTCAAGCAGTCACATTCATGACAAACCATTTGTGCAGAATGCCCCCTCCCACATGTTGGGGTAGACCAGGTGTCTCGATAGAAATCACTTAATCTTTCCCCTGGCTCAAGCTGATGAAGGGAGGAGAACTTGTGGCTCAGAGGTTAATTTAACTGCCTAACATGCAGGAATCCCAAGTTCGAACCCGAGTAAGGGTATGGCTAGCTGATGAGAGCTAAATAGCTTGAAATAGATCTATACTAGTCTCCCTTTATTTCTTTATCAGCAAAATATAAATTATAATATATATGTATCTCATGGAAACCTAGAAAAACACTTCATATATAATCAGGACATAGTTCACAGCTTCACATGAGCGTTACTCATGACCAGACCTATGCTCTCAATGTATATTTTCATGACTATTGGGAAGTTAATACCTAGGATAAGAATAAAAGGAAATAAAACCCAGCACACAATTCTCCTCTATCACAACTATGCATCCTAGAGCATGAGAGTAATTGTCTGAAATGAGTCAGACCAAAGGCTTAAGGAAACAGTTGTCATAGCAACCTCCTTCTCTATTCTGATTCTGCTTAGAATTAAAACGATATCAAATAATTTGGGAGTGAAGAGATAGGGCAAAAATCTATTGGTGCTAAATGACCTTCTGTAGATGAGTCTCCTTTCCGGTCAAAATGACATACAAAATATGTAAAAACTAATAAGCAAAATATAGTTTGATAGTGGGAAAAAAGGCTGCAAGCAAAGAATTCTAGTTATTTCTGATTCATTTTCTTTGCATAGATAAGACTCGCTCCCAACAGTTAACCTATTTCCAAGGAACTCCTCATCCCCCACCCTCACTCAATGCAGGAAAGGTCCAAGACTAAGTCTGTCTGACGTCTGTGCCCTTCTGAAATCCAACTGTATCATTGCACAACAACTGACAGTTAACAGTCTCACCCCATGCTGCTATGTCACTGCTAATGGCTCCCTATAGTCCAACACAGAAGGCAGAGCAAGGCATAGTTGCTACAAGCTGTTACAGTCAGGAACAGGAATTTCTCTGCTCTTACAGCCATCTGTGGAAATCCCAGGGAGCATATGAAAGGATTCTTGCATTTCTTACTTAGTTCCAAATATATCTAGAGATTGCTGCTCACTCCAAAACCCCGACAGCAATTCACAGCAATTGTTTTTTTGGGGAAAAAAACAAAACAAAATGGAAACATTTCAGTAAGGCTTGTCCCACTGAATTTTGAAACCCATTTGACCTAAAACAACAGCAGCTTGCAAGGGTGGCTAGATTTCATTTGAGGAGGCTTCTTTTTGACAGTCATTCATGCTACTGTTGTTTTTAATTTCCCAAGCAAGCAAAACAAGATCCCTTCGTGATGTGGGATCAGCAAAACAATGTCTTGAAATCCTTTGTGCTGGGAGAAATCCTTTGTGCTGGGAGGAGAGGTTTGGATTCAGGTTCTGGCAGGAACCTGAAGATTCCAGCAGAAACTTGTAGCATCTTTTAAAATAAGTATACATCCATGTATGTACTCGTAGACATGTAAACATGCATGAAATGTAGACACGCTGGTCTGTCCATGCTTGAAATTAGCAAACAAAGATTGTCTTGCAAACCACACTCCTCAAATGACGTCATATACCCTTCATATACCCAGACCAAGGAGATGCAGATTCTAGTGATTTCACTGGGACCTTGAAACTCTCAGCAGCTGCAATGTCAGTTCAACCAATACAGAAGCTCAGTTTAATGATTCACATGACAGAACATTCAGTCATATTATCTAGAGCAGAGTGAGATATTTCTCTCTCTTTCTCTCTCTCTCTCTCTCTCTCTCTCTCTCTCTCTCTCTTTCTCTCCCTCCCTCCCTCCCTCTCTCTTTCTCTCTCTCTCTCTCTCTCTCACACACACACACAAAGAGGAGATAAAGTTTTAATTAAGTGATAAGTAATAATTATGTTTCAGTTAATGTTCACTTGGGGATCAAAAGCTGTTAGGAAGATTACAATATTGAATGGACTTTCTAAATTCACTTGAAAAGGCACATGTAGGCTATTATAAAGCGAGTATTCTTCCAAGGTGATTCCAGCTGGAAAATACTATAATTTACTCAAAGAATTTACTATAATTATCTCAAATAATTTACTCAAATTTACATTATAAGAATTATATTATTGAGAGGGATCCAGAATATCAACAGAGAAAACTAAAAGACTGAAGATTCCTAGTTGTGAGTTTGGCAGATTAGTTTGTGTCCAAGAGATGGGTTTTTTTTCTTGCTGTGGACATTGCCATTGGCAGACATTAAGGTATTATTTATTTATTTTAAAGGACTTACAGTACATAGTCACTTATATTGCAATTATAACCCCGAGTGGCTCACGAAACAGTAAAAAAAAAAAAAAGCAAACATTCCCAAACAGAACAGAACAACAATTCCCAGACAAAATAGAATAAGAACTCAAGAAAATAAAAACTCATGGCATCCCAGGAAAAGCACTTTCCCACATATCCATATACTATCTTGATGGGCTCCATCCTTGTTTTTTTCAAACTTGGAAACTTTAAAAAGTGTGGGCTTCATCTCCCAGAATTCCTGCTTGTTGGCTGGGGAATTCTGGGAATTGAAATCCACACATCTTAAAGTTGCCAAGATTGAGAAACATAGTTCCATCCCAATGTTTGTGGGAACAATCATATTTTCCAAGTTTTCCAGAAAGCTAAGAAGTTAAGAGCCTGACAGATGTCTGGAGAAAGAATATTCCACAGGCCAGGAGAAGCTCTGAGAAGGCACACTTCTTGATCCTGCTAGAAAACTACATTTAAGGAAGGGACCTAAAACACGCCCCCTTATCTGACCTGTTGGATAAGCAGATACCCATACATTGTTTTAACTATTTTATAAGTTGTCAGTTGCTCAGAATCACTATGGCGAGTTGGGTAGCCACACAATCTGACATACATGAATGAATGAATGAATGAATGAATGAATGAATGAATGAATGAAAGAAATCTACTCAGAATAGAAATGAATCCTTGGGTATTCCCAGTTGTCCAGGTTCTAGATCATGGAGATCTTTCATGTTTTGCCTATTCCAATTCATAGCAAAGATGCAAGATTCTACAAAGACCTGTCTTCTTTCTTCTCGCATCCAGCAGATTTTACAAAGAAATTCATCTAAGGCTGTATGGGTAGCAAACTTGATATGAATGTTTCTGTTTGGATGCTATAAATAGATATCACCATGTCCATGATTGAGCATGTATCTAGGGGTATTTTGGGGAGGAGGGTGATACTTCTGAAGTTTCATGATTTTCCCACTTAATCTCTTTTTAATCCTCATCCGTCAGTCCTTCCACACCATCTGCTTTTCAATTATTGCTGTCTTCTGAGCTGTGGTATGGCTTGGTTTGATTAGAAACTGCTAATTATCAGCTACTTTCCCCCCCACCAAACCCTGACTATAATAAAACCACTTTAAAGGGCATGAACGAGGCCCTCAAATTCATTCATTATCTCTTTCCTTTCAACAATATTCATGCCAGTTCACGGATTCATAAATATCAAAAGGGCGTATACAAAAATGAGATGAACATTTGTAGATTTCAGTTTCTACATGGATGAGTGGAAATAAACACTGATGCAGTTATTATGCAGGGCATCATCCCAACATTTCCATCAGGTTTATTCCATATTGTCATTTTAGCCCCTGGGGAACTATGGTCTTGGATGAAAATTAAGTGAAAGGGCGTTTGCTTTTTGTGTGTTTATTTTTATGGAGTTATGAAAAAGTTGCAAAGCACAGAAGTAATATTTGCTGGGCACAAAAAGGACACTGCAACAATACACATGACATAAAACTTAGGCCTAGTATTAACAGCAAGGATTTATCCTTTAAAATTAATGTTGGAAGTTTTTGTTAGGACTTCCACGACATGCTGCAATTGACCACTAGATGGCAGGAAAGCATTTTCTTTTTCTCTTTGCTGCCATCTAGTGGTTGCCTGATATAAAAATTCCATGTTTGGCCCATTGAACTGATGAACCTGCCAATTTCCAGATTCACATTCAAACAAATAAATAAAAACAAGTAGAGGGTCTCCCCAGTGTTATCCCCAACTTCAAGTGCATTGAAACAAGTCCTACCTGCAGCAATTCCTGTCTTCCCACCAATAGTGACAGTCACAGATGTGCTTACTGTTACTGCCTCAGGCAAACTTCCCTCTGTTAAGACATAAATGTAGCAAATTCAAAAGCTGATCCTGTATCTCAAGGGAAGAGACTCTCAGAACTGACAGACAGTTAATTCTGTTCATAAATCAAATACAAAGTATAGAACATGCATAAAGACCAGTAGATGTAGGATCTCCACGTTTAGATGATAATTCCTCAGAAGATAGGAGAGAATTAATCAGATTGTATTGTGATGGGAAGAATGTATGGGGTAGAAGGGGAAGAATCCTGCTCCTTGTGGGGGGAGGAAGAATATAAAGGTAGTCCTCGATTTACAACTTTTCATTTAATGACCAAACAAAGTGATTTATGACCATTTTTCACACCTGCAGTTTCAGCATCCCCATGATTACATAATCAAAATTCGAATGCTTGGCAACTGGCATGTATTTATGATGGTTGCAGGGCCATGTGATCACCTTTTACGACCTTCTGATTCACTTAATGACCATGTTACTAATTTAACTACTGAAGTGATTTACCTAACAACTGTGGCAAGAAAGGTTGTAAATGGAGCAAACTTTAAATTTCAAATCTTTATTGTCAGTGCACAACATATGTACAATGAGATTGGTTGAGCTCCTTCAGTGCAACTCCCCACAACATAATACAACTCACAGTGAAGACAGAAAATCCCTAACCCAACAAATCATATTAACAACCCCCAGTCCTATTGCACCAGTTTGAAAATGTTACACATTGCACCGGCCCTGCAAGTCCATACGTAGTTATGTTGTTATTTTGCATTGAGGAGTCTGACAGCCCACAGATAAAAACTGTTTTTCAGTTTGTTTGTGCGGCTGGCTATACTTCCCGATGGTAGGAGGATAAAGAAGTGGGGACCAGGGTGTGAGTCATCCCTGAGGATTTTCCTCACTCTTCTAAAACTCATATAATTACTGTCTCGCTTAGCAACCGAAATGTTGGGCTCAATTGTGGTTGTAAGTTGAAGACTAATTGTATCAGGAAACCTCTTCTGTTTGATGGCTATGTCTCTGCATTTTTTTTGATAGGGAAACATGGATATGCCTTAATCTAATGGTTTGTTCTGCTGCCAGGAAGAGATTTAAAAAGAAGTAAGAAATCAGTTTGGGTTGCTGATCACCAAAAAAGATGCCTTGATCATCCTGACTTACAGTAATATATTAGAAGTCCCTAATGTTCAAAGCTAGAATTATGTCTGCATTTCCCAAATCAAACTAAAGAGTCCTACTTGCTTATTCATAAAGCAGCCCTAATGTCAGTGTTTTGCTAGAAAATACAGATGTCTGAATTTGAGGATGTACTTATTTTAGGGACATAACACTGAAAAAGAGAAAATCCTCTTAGCAAAACAACTGTTTTTTCACATTGATGTATAATGAACTGTCAATTTGCCAAAGTACAGCTTCAGATTTATTTTTATTTAGCTCTCTAGTCTAGAATTCTAAATATCTTTAATAGGAAGTGACTGTGGGTGTCAACTAGTAATATTAACACCATTTCCTGGTCAAAAGAACTAAAGGTTTTAGAGGGGAGGAGAATGTTCATTCAACTGGATGTAACATTCTTTTGAGCTGTGCTTCTCTATCTGCATATGCATCCAAACCTCTGGTCAGCATTGCTAACTGTAAAGGTTCCCCTCGCACATATGTGCTAGTTGTTCCTGACTCTAGGGGGCGGTGTTCATCTCTGTTTCAAAGCCGATGAGCCAGCGCTGTCCGAAGACGTCTCCGTGATCATGTGGCCGGCATGACTAAATGCCAAATGCGCACAGAATGCTGTTACCTTCCCACCAAAGGTGGTTCCTATTTTTCTACTTGCATTTTTTACCTGCTTTCAAACTGCTAGGTTGGCAGAAGCTGGGACAAGTAACGGGAGTTCACCCTGTTATGCAGCACTGGGGATCGAACTGCTGAACTGCCAACCATTCGATCGACAAGCTCAGATTCACTAGACTAGACATACCCAATTCCTGCATATGATTTAGTCTCCAGCCCTCTAATCATCTGTGTTGCTCTTTTCTGCTTTTTTTTCCAGAGTCTCAACATCTTTAGCTTAACAATTCATTAAAGACTACAAATTCTCTACTGTAGCTCCAGTAGTTCAATTTTGACAGATGAGCACTGAATGATTAAACATATAATAAAATGTTTCTACGTAATTAGAGAAAAGTCTTCTTCATCATTTCGAGATTTCTTTGTGCAAGCTTTTGTGGTTATTGTACAAAGGCACATTGAGTCACATTACAACCCACTTGTAGTCTGAAGTAGCATAGTTGAAAAATAGGTCCACCTCCTCTTCAGCTGTCTGGGAAAGCATAGGTTTTGAATCCAGTGGAGCCTAGCTAGTTTATATTTCCTTGTGTTGTACAACTGTTCCATGCTGGGATATTCTGAATATTGATATTTATTTTTTATTGTAGTTTTCCTAAAATTACAATTAAAAAGCTAAAAACTAATGCAAACTAAAAAAATTAAAAGAATAAAAAATAGTGTAGAAAAAAGAAAAACAAGAATATAGTAAAGAAAAAGAAAATGATAAAGAAATGACTATTCATCACAAAAAATATGAACAATTTTAATAACTTATCACCTTTTCTTAAAATGTAACAAATGTTCTTTTCTTCCCATATGCCATTTGATCCTTATCAACAAAAGTCCACTGAAGGTAGATAAAGATAATAACATACCTATTTTAAACATGATCAAATAAACCAACTTTATAGTCCTTCCTTTTAGCAATCTTGATTATTAATCCTTCAAATAATGTCCTAGAACTTGATTTCTTTTCTTATTTCTTTTTTTGTCTCTTCTCACACAATTTTTCAAAACTTTAATAAGTTTCTTTTATAAATCCAATATAGGAAAATTATTTAAGTTACTCTTTTGATTTATTATTTGTGTATCTCTTTTAATTATTAAGGTATCATCCAGTTTTATTTACATGTCTAGTGTAGCATGACTTTTTTCGATGACATTCTTGTAGCCTGCCATTTTAAAATCCACTTTCTAATTAGTCTCAGTCTTGTCCAGTAAAACTTGTTCCTCCTCCATAACATCTTTTAGACATAGCCTATCTACAGAACCATATTCTTAAAATTAACTGGGTTCATTTTTCAAAAATATCCTTCAACACATCCAGTGTTAAGGTATTTTTCTGCAAATTTAAGTACTCTTCTTTTTTAATTATGTTTAGTTCCCTCCAATGTCCAACCAAGCCTTTTTTTAAAAAAAGAATTCTAAATAAAGGCATTTTCCTATGGGAAGGATTCTTAAGGTTAATTGCACAATATTATTTCAAATCCACCTGGACTTTTAGTCCATTTTTTAGCTTCCTAAATCAAACTTCTAATCATTCTTTTTCTGTTTATTCCAAAATAACTTTTTAAAAGTCTTTAAATTTTTATTTAAAGCTTGTTTTGCCAAGGATTAAAGAAAATTCACGCAATGTTGTAAAATTTGTTGATCCAAAGGTTTGTAATAGCTGAGAAGCAATTAACAAGCAATTTCCAAAAGTGATTAAAAAGGAAACATGTAAAGCCAATATCTTTTGAAAAGGTGCAACTATGGTTTGAACAAGATAACTGTTCCCTTGTTTCTCAGAGCTCTAACCCTGCCAGAGACTGCTATCTTGTGGCTTCCTTGTGAGGAACAGTTGTATGGAGCGCTTGTGGGTGATCTCAAGTTCTCTCCTTGTCCAAATTACAAAGAACTAGTCTACTCATTGCCAGCTCTTTGTTTCACAATGGACATCACTTCTACTTTTAGTAGAGCCATTTTAGTTCACCATTTTTTATTCAGAAGTCTGAAAGATCAGATTTCTGATTATATTTTTCCTGACTTTTATTCCTTACTTTCTTTCCGGTATATTGCTTACTTAATGTTCCATGCAACAGAAGGGATTTCTTTCTCTTCTTTCACCATTCCAACACTTGTCACTTGTCACATTCTTGGCTTGATCTTTAGTGCCCAATATGTCCTGAACATAATTTTGCAGCTTCATTCAGTTTTAGTTTCAGCATTTTTGCCTTTTTTTTTTTTTTGAAAAAAAAATCCTTGGAAATAGATCTATGAGAGGCCTAAGTGCATTAGTCTTTATACATTGCATCAGCCCTTATTTTATGAAATTTCCTTTGGGATAGCATTCATCTACATACTACTAAAGGGATGCGGTGGCTCAGTGGCTAAGATGCTGAGCTTGTCAATCGAAAGGTCGGCAGTTCAGCGGTTCGAATCCCTAGTGCCGCGTAATGGGGTGAGCCCCCATTATGTGTCCCAGCATCTGCCAATCTAGCAGTTTGAAAGCACGTAAAAATGCAAGTAGAAAAATAGGACCACCTTTGGTGGGAAAGTAACAGCATTCCGTGCACCTTTGGCATTTAGTCATGCCGGCCACATGACCACGGAGACATCTTTGGACAGTGCTGGCTTTTCAGCTTTGAAACAGAGATGAGCACCGCCCTCTAGAATCAGGAACAACTAGTATATATGTGCGAGGGGAACCTTTACCTTTTATATACTACTAAAACTCTTATTATGTTTATCTTTCTGTTTGTATTTTCAGGTTAGCTCAAAGTGCATTATATCACAACATTTTTAATCAAGGTGCCTACAATCCATTAACTACAATCCATTTTCAAGAGCCTGCTAGCGCAGTGGACTAAATGCTGTTAAAGTAGCATTTAGTTGCCAGCTGCCTGCAATTATTGCAAGTTCAAATCGCACCAGGCTCAAGGTTGACTCAGCCTTCCATCCTTTCGAGGTAGGTAAAATGAGGACCCGGATTGTGGGGGCAATAAGCTGACTTTGTATAAAAAAGAACACCGCTTGGGGGGGGGGCGAAAGCCCTACTAAGCAGGTATATACAAAAGTATGAAGGCTATTGCTTAATGCATTGTAAGCCGCCTTGAGTCTTTGGAGAAGGGCGGCATATAAATCGAACCAATGAACAACAATAATAATAAACTTAAAAGAATGCATTAAAAAATCCAGGATTCATGTGGAACTGAA